ATAAGGCTAGTAAATGACGAATTTCCCTTGTTTATTGGAGTCACACTCCTTCCCTTTATCTACTCCTGGTAACATGTAACAACTAGTAGTAATGCAGACTTGGCAGCAACATTGTGTCGGCTTTAATATCATAAAATTACACATAATCGGCGAGTCGGCAAACAATCGAGACAATAAAATTAAATTTGATAAGTTGAGAATTTAAAATTAACAAACTTTTGATGACTTGTGAACCATTTTAACTTTGTTCAAACCAATTTATAGCCTCCTATGAGCTATGAGCTAATACATAGAAGAATTCCCCCATAATTTCATACTTTTCAATCGTGACAAGAACTTTCAAGAGTGTTTCTTGTTTTCGTTCAGAGTTATTTGTAGTAGGTAGCAGGAAAATACCTCGCCTCATGAAGGTTAGTTAGTCAACAATAATAGACAAATTTAAAAAACAACAACAACTAATATGTGTACTAGAGTTGCTAGTGGAACACCAACATTTCTGCCATTTAAAGGATTGAAATTAAGTTTACCGCTGAAATTAATGTTTAAAAAATAGCCACTACGCGTGTTGTTTGGGCAACAAGTTTTGTGGCCGTCAAAAATCAATACTAACTAACATTGGTTTTTTTATTCCACCCAAACTCCACGTTTCCCCCAAAACCATTAATATTATATGTACAAGCTCAGCATCTCTGCTTGAAGTATTAAAGGGTAACTCCATGAAGTATGAATGTCATCACATGAATACATCTTTAAAGACGTTTTGCTTCGCTATATTAAAGAATAGCTTTACTGTAGGTTCAAGAATTATTTACAGCTAAATCACGTTTATATTATACTATTCCACGTTGTTTTCCTCGTCTTTCTTTTGCCTCCTACATGTCCTACCTCCTCTCCTCCTCAACATGCTCCCTATTTGTGTCTCTTCTTCCCCTTTCCACATCATTCCTCTCCTATCCCCTTATCCTTGTCTTACCCATTTCCTTTATTTTCTTTTTATCTCTTCCTTTTTCAACTTTCTCCCTCAGTGCTTTTAATCCTTTTCCTATTCTTCCTCCATCGATTTCCGCTTAAATCTATCTCAGAATTATACACAATTCTGTCCTTCTGAGTTGCCCTGCTGAAATTTATCAAGTAGCCCTCTCTGTTTTCTTCTTCTTCTTCTTCTTCTTCTTCTTCTTCTTCTTCTTCTTCTTCTTCTTCTTCTTCTTCTTGTGGAAGTATACCTAAACCTACGTGCAAGACCTTGTAACTATTATCATAAGTCGCCCACAGTTTATTTGATTACCACGGTTGAGAACTTTGCGCAGGTGGGTGTGTACATACATGATCAACATTGCCTGTCTGTCGAGTGCTGACATCACTGTTCTGGTAGCAGCAGCTAGCACGGGGAATCTCCAGGTTTCTCATCCATCTATCACATTGCTGATTGGATGCCACTGCCCCACTACTGACAACCTCTTCGCCTATTAAATCGACAACATACAAACGACCATAGTATAAATTACATGAAGCTCACCTTTATCATTATGTAAAGCAAGGATAGATAATCTAGAACGAAATAATAGGAAATTAACCCAACATCTTCCATAGCGTAGTATATTGAAACACAACTCCAAACATAGTACAAAACCAGAACACGTCATCATATAAAGTGTTAAATGTGCTGCTACAGTGTAGTGTGTCACAGTAATGCCACACCGTTTGAATATACAGAAGAAGTCCAAAAATCTGGATGCCAGAAATCAGGACCACCCAAGAATCCGGACTTTTCGAAAACTCACAAATTTAACTCTCTGTTTAATAAACTTAAACTAAATAATTAATTTGTGTAAAATAACTTCTGCTTTTATTTGTTTACGTTATTTTTCTTTTACAATGTTTATTTTTAAACATGATTTCAAGCATACATGCTCTTTTTTGTAGTAAAATTTTTTTATGTTTACATTTTTGTCAAGTGTTGACTTTATTTTCCTTTAAAGCTGCTCGATAAATGAAACATGATGTATTTACTAATGAATAAACTATCAAAATTTACTTGTTCATCTCTTCTTTATTCCTCCTTAAATTTAAAGATTTAAAAGGACTGCCCGAGAATTCCGAAAATCCGAAAATCCAGACCGACCCAATCCCTGAGCAGTCCAGATTTTTGGACTTCTACTGTAGCAGTAATTACTGTGTGTCACACAGTGTGAATATAGCAGTAATTAATCTCACTTGGCAGTTGCAAGGATGGAAGTGTCCAGCCTCTAGTCACTCTCTCATCATCCGTATCATTCGTCAGATCAACGACAACCGCCCGACTTCTACTGCTGCTAGGCTGGCTGCTGTAACATAAACAAACGTACATTGGCAATGCTTCCCTAAAACGGATAGATCACACTTACATTCACAACTTCATGGAAATAAGCCGAACCTACGTGAAGACGAATGCTTAGCGGGGAACAGGCTGATCCCCTAGTGCAGTTGCAATAGGTTTACCTAAGTCAAACTTCCTTGCCTTTTACTATTTGTTCCAGTGCCAGTGTCTTTCTAAAACTATACTTCCCCACCACTGTCTGTGTTACACAAGTGAATAGTACAAATAAATATAGTATAATACTCACACTTCCGGCTGCACAGCTACTACTTCAATGTCACTCTCGCTGTCGTCCGACGAGCTATCCAGTTGGAGATCCGGCGGCAGTGCTGCCCACTTGTTTCTTCTTGCTCTCCGCCTCTCCGCATGTACCGCGCTGCATTCCTGAGTGCTCCTACCGGTGGCGCTCCCGCCCGGGCGCTGCTGACTGCCCGTATAGACGTGTCCGCTGCCATCCCGCTCACCGTACGCCGGCAAATCCGACCCCTCCTCCGCCATCTGATATGTATGCCCGCGAGCGGTGGTGCCACCTGCCGATGCCGCCGCCTGCGCCGCTCCCTTACTGCTCTTCGCCTTGCCACCCTTCTTGGTGCTGTTGTCGGCGGCTGCGGTGACGCCCCCTCGTGTCCGCGTCCGCGCGCCACTGCCGGCCTGAGGCTCGTCGACGACCTCGATCGTATCCTCACTATCAGTGCTCTCGTCAAAGTAACGCGGCATCCGGTGCAACGCCATCTCCATTCCGAAGTCCGAGTCGGAATCGCTCGACGAGGTACTGAAGTAGTAGTCCGGGACGGGATCCGGCGGCCGCACTCGCACCCCGGATTTCCGCTTCTGCTTCGGGTGGCGGGCGGCGGCGGCGTGCAGGCCTATGCGCGGCAGGCAGAGCCCGCTCGTAGACGGCTGCTCGTCCTCGCTCGTCGTTGCCGCGGCGACGACGCGGAACTGCGGCGGCTGCTCGCGGATCGGGGAAAAGCGTTTGCGCACCTTGGCGTCGTCGAGGTGGTTGCCGTCTCGCTTCTGTGCGGCGGGAAGGAGGCTGTGACGCGTCGGCGGCCGTCTGCTGCCTATAACGCCAAGCACGCAGGGTTTAGTACATAGACAATAAAATAATACATAAAATCTATATAATCTTGAATTTTTTTGGCTCTGGGCCGTCTGCTGCTTGTAACGCCAAGCACACAGGGTTTGGTATGCGTTCAGTAATACTAAAGTAATATATAAATAAGAAGAGCCGCAGAGCAACTGGGCTCATCTGAGGTCTGTTGCTACGGTTATAAACGTAACATTTCAGTCGTGCGTAGTGACACTTTTGTTAGGCGCAGATATGCAGATACGCAGTTGCGTACACATCATTTCAGCAAACATTTTTTTTATTGCAAAGAGAGAGCGAGAGAGAGGAAGAGAGAGAGGGGGCGAGAGAGAGAAAGAGAGAGAGAGAGAGAGCGAGCGAGAAGAGAGAGAGGGAGAGAGTCAGTCAGACTAAATTGTTTATAAACAAATAACACCCACGCGGCGCGCTACTGTATCAGTTACGTCATCGATTGAAATGTACATTCGACGAAGATGGCGGGCAGAGGTAAGGCAGACCCATGTATAACGTACAGATTTCTTCAATGTCGGGGAGGATCAACACATTTTCGACTGACAGTCAACCATCGGGCTCTGCAGCGTCCACAAGCCAGCATGCTCCACCATATCCCGACATTGCACACTACTGTAACGTCGACGGAGAGAGCCATGCCAAGGACAGTACAAAACTGGCAAATTTTCATTGGTAGGTTTAACGATTCATTTCTGCAATTACTTATCTCAAGATTGGTTAAACTGAAGTTAAGAAAGTAATTCTTTCTGCACTTTTGAGCGCAATATACATTTGACCTATCCTGCCGGGACATTATTCTCACTCTGTTCCGATAGATGGCGTGCATACTGACTATGTGCAGGGAATAGATAATCCGAACTAATTGCTACCTTCGTTTAGCCTATGCTGTGATCAGCCACCCACCTGCGAGGTAGGCCTATTTATAGTTGGCCTTAATCAAAAACAGACGTTATCGTAAGTGCTATTGACATTGTAATCCTAACGTACAGAATCTCATATAGAGAATGAAGTTCATATATGATTTAAGGCGCGTAAACGTTGTTCAAGTAAGTTTTGCATGCAGAATTTCACTGTGAAATTTAAGTCTTCCACGATCACACAAGTACCATCAAACACAGTTCAGTCCTTTGTTAACAGTCAACAAATCCATGTTTAACCCTTCTCTTGAGGGTCAAAAGGTTATCAGACACTTACTCTTCGCACGTCAGTGGAAAGCACATTTCATGGTCCTTTCAATAAAGGGATAAATATGGTAGGTCAGCGCTGAAAAAAAAGTTTTCCACTCTGTCCATTAGGGCATGTCCTCAGAAAATGTCTGATATCTGACCTTTCCCCCACTGCCCTTTGACATGTGACCTCCAATTTTGCACTGGTGATGGGTTTCCTGCCCATCACACTATACACTGAATATTAAGAGCATAGGTCGAGCTGTTCATATTTGTGCCGCAATTCCGTATTTCCTCCTATACTTTAAGTTAAGGGGAAAATATTCCCCCTCCGTGGACACATCTTGACCTTTGACCCTTGACCCCCAAATTGGTCATCCCGAGTCCTTTTCACGATCCCCCCCGACGTCCCGAATATCGTGAACCGTACGTCGAGCGGTTAAGATTTGTGCCCAACTGTTGACGGACACACGGACGCACAGACAGACTCTCATGCGATTCTACAAGCTGCATCTGACTTCGTCAGATGAGCTAAAAATATATAAATATATAGAGGGGTTTAGCACCTCGACGAAGGGGTCACCCCATTTTGGTTTGGATTGGATTCTGTTTGGGTTTGGATTGGATTCCATTTGGATTTGGATTAGATTCCATTTGGATTTGGATTAGATTCCATTTGGATTTGGACTGGATTCCATTTGGGTTTGGATTGGATTCCATTTGGGTTTGGATTGGATTAATTTTCGTTTGGTTTGGAATTTATTTGGTTTGGGTTTCGTTTGGTTTTAGTTCAGTGTGTGGAGAATCCTGTCTAGATGCACGCACCCATGCATGCACGTACACACATACATATACATATATTACATAAAATCGATCTAATCTTGAATTTAAAATGATTGTAATGAAATGTATATGTGCACAATTACCTAAAAAATAAATAAAAACACCCCAAGAGGGTGATATATATATATAAGATATATAAATATATATATCTATATTGGGTCGGTGTGCCATTGATCTTTAGTCCACCATCTCTAGGGATATAATTATTTATTTATTTATTTAGGTAATTATGCACGTATGAATTCCAGTACAATGATTTTAAATTCATGACTTTAGATAACTACCAATGATAAACACACATAAAGTATTACAAGCACCCTTACCTACATCGTGGTCCTTGCAACATTACACTTATTAATGACATCAGTACTTTGAACAATCAATATATAATCTTTACAAGTTTTAGACTTAGGTTTAAGAGAAATTATTACTATATTAATGACACATAAATTCGCATTCCTATTCCCTATTCCCATTACGATCCATAAAGGGTGGGATTTTAAATCGAGCCTTCCTATGCAATGTTGACACCCTCCCCACAAATAAACAGTTACCTAACAAACACATACTGGACATGTGAGGGGATCGATCCTCTCTTCCGGCACGCTCTCCGTGGACGCCGCTTCTCCCCAGGGGGCGCTGTTCCCGGTGACCATGTCCGATTTCGGGGTTGCAGCGATGGCTGCGCATCGCGGTCGTTGGGACGGGCTCGGCGTCACGGCGAGACCTGGCTCCCCCGCCCGTCTCGACGTCGCGCGGAGGACGGGGACGGCCGCTGTAGCTTCTGAAGGCACTCCGATGACTGCTGCCGAGGGAGGCGTGATGGCGGGCACCGACCGTGGGGGGTAGACCGAGCGGGTTGCTGCCCAGGATGCTGTGGCTGCTGTGTGTACTGCTGGGAGAGTTTCCCCACATCGGACCGCTCCTAGAGACGCAGGATGGTAGTGTGTGAGTATAGTGATGTTAAGCAACAACCTAGCATGGCTGCTACTACTGCTGCTGCTACTATTGTAGCTACTGCTACTGTTGCTGCTGCTGTTGCTGCTACTGTTGCTACTATTGTTAATGCTACTGCTGCAGTTGTTGTTTTTGCTGCTACTACTGTTACTGCTGCTACTGCTGCTACTGCTGTTGCTGCTATTGTTACTGCTGCGACTGCATCTGTTGTTGCTGCTGCTGTTACTGCTGTTACTGCTGCTACTGCTGCTACTCCCACTGCTGCTGCTGCCACTACTGTTGCTGCTTCTTATTATTTTAAGCACTCCAATGAAATTGAATATTATTGTTTTAAATTCGACCCCAAGCTTTTACTCATTCCTTGAAAGAAGAGTCGTCAATGTACATCATACATGCCTGCATAGATGTACGCATGAATACACACACTCGCTCCTATCTACACACCTGCAGCCGGTAGACTCTGGATAGAGGCGAGGCATGGCATGCCGGGCGGCCTCCTGATGCGTGTGTGGGATGATATGTCGCACGGTAGACGCGCCCTGAGGTTCTCTCAACCAGACGCTCATGTCGACGTGGTGCGTTGGGGCATCTGTCATCACGTCCACCCCACCAGTGTCCATCATATCTGTAACACAATACACACGCAATCATTAGTGATGTGCTAAAGATGTAGGAGGTGCAGTTAATGATGTCCCGATGATCGATTATAATTGAAAGTCAGTGGTTTACAGCAACTGAGTAAGCGCTCAATTATGAAAATAAATAATCGATTATCAAAATCTTTTTAAAAAAATATGTAAAAAATTAA